TTTCAGCCCACCATCTTTTTCTCCCTCCCTCCTTCCTCCTTTAAAAATTAGAGACCATGTAATACACATGTAATGCACAGCATGATGACTGTAGCTAACACTGCCATATGGTATATAGGAAAGCTGTTAAGAGTGTAAATCCTAAGAGTTCTTATCACAAGGAGAATTTTTTCCCTTTTTTCTTTTCTTCTTTCTTTTCTTTTTATCATATCAATATGAGAAGATGGATGTTAGCTAAAACTGGTGGTAATAACTTCACATATTTGTAAATCAAACCGTCAGGCTGTGCATCTTAAACTTGTACAGTGATGTATGTCGATTATTTCTCAATAAAACAGGAAAAACTAGAGACCAGTCGTATCTCAACCATTGCCAAACTCTGGCTGTCAATGAGAGTCCATCACTTCCTTTTATTTTTCTACCCACTGACTTATTTCCACACCTTACATACACCTCTGACCCTGTATGGTTATCGTGCTTGTTTGTGGGTTTTCTCTTTAAACTCTCCTTAACAAATTCAACGTACATTTATTTATGAGCCTAGATACATAAAGCCATGTGTCCAGCTCAGAGGGAGATCACCAGATATACGAGACTCAGTTCCTTCAAGATGCTTGTGCTCTAGTCCGGTATATAACAAGTCTTCCACCCAGGTAAGGTGAGAATGACCTACTGGGGTGAGTGCAGGAAAAAGAGATTTTCTTTGCAGTTGAGAAAGGGAGGCGTAGGGAGAGCACGGGCAGATGGGAGGGCTCAAAATTGCTCATGCCCCTTCATCTATTCCAGGAAATATAGCCACGCCATTCCTAGTTATGAGGTTTTGCCGGTGACTTGATTTATCCCATACTGAGCCCTTTCCCCACACAGGATTATCTTAGCAAATATTGGAGCATGCCTTATGCTTCACTCACTTCCGTAGAGTGAAGACTGTTGGTACCCAGGGGCTGGCTCTCTGACTTGCTCAGCCTCTGATTTTCAGCCCCTGTTTTCCTTAATGAAGAATAGTGACATACTGAGATGGCAAAAAGACACAAACCTCATGGAAAGTAAGGGATCGTTCCTCTTTCTTCCCGTATCAACACCATACAGCCTTGTGATGCTTCAGCTTAAAGGTTAGCATCTGCATCTGTGGGATTGGAAACTGTATAACTGTGAGTCCTCCAGGAAAAAGCTGACTCTTTTGGCCTCCAGAAATGAGCCTAGGGGCGCCTGGGTGGCTCAGTTGGTTAAGCGTCCGACTTCGGCTCAGGTCATGATCTCACAGTCCGTGAGTTCAAGCCCCACATCGGGCTCTGTGCTGACAGCTCAGAGCCTGGAGCCTGCTTCGGATTCTGTGTCTCCCAATCTCTCTGCCCCTCCCCTGCTCATGCTCTGTCTCTCTCTGTCTCAAAAATAAATAAAAATATTTAGAAAAATAAAAAAAAGAAATGAGCCTAATCAAGAATAAAATAGGAAAAAAAGTGAACAGTGAAAAATGTGGAAAAAAATCATTGACATTTTAAAAATATAGATATTTTCAGGGCGCCTGGGTGACTCGGTCGGTTGAGCATCTGATTCTTGATTTCAGCTCAGGTCATGATCCCAGGGTCGTGGGATTGAGCCTGTCAACAGGCTCTGAGTCTGCACTGAGCATGGAGCCTGCTTGAGATTCTCTCTCTCTCTCTCTCTCTCTCTCTCTCTGCTCTCTTTCCCTCCCTCCCCCTTCCCTCCCTGTCTCTCTCCCCCCTCCCTCCCTCTGCCCCTCTCCCTCACTTGTAGGCCCTCTCTCAAATTAAAATTAAAAAAAAACATATATTAGTAAAGAAAAAGATAAATATAGATATTTCCGTGATAACTTCCCCAAAGAGTTCTATTATACAGAAAGCAAATATAGACTTTTTCCTTCCTTAGGCAAAGATGGCTCCAGAGTGAAATTTTCAATTGAAGGTGTTATTTATGAAAGCTAATAACACATCCAAATAAAACTCAGGAGGTCACCTGAAAAATGAGGGGTCATGAAGTAGAGATACATTTGCTATGTGGGTCCTTGTTTTCATCAGTCTCCCAAGGAGGCTGCCCCTGGATTTCTCAGGGTTGGTTCCCAACATGCAACATCAGTCACTCTGATAGCATTTCTTAGAATGGATCGGCTTTTGCGCTTTCCTACAAACACTAAATTTCACCCAAATAAAGAAACCAAGAAAGGGAAACTCAAGATCAACAGAGCTGAAATTTCAGCTCTTTCTTCTTCTTTTTTTTATGCTATCAAGGCAACGAGGAGGGCTTTTTTATGTTCTTTTCATGTGTGTGGCTGTGTCTGTGTCAACCTGCGTGTGCACAGAGGTACACAGACGATTCTCACCAGGCACTTAGAAGTTGTTCTGGCAAAAGTCTGTAAGAAATGCCCAGTTTTGAGCAAAAAGTTATTATAAACAACAGCAGCATCCCCCCCCCCATCAAAGAAAGAAAAATTCCTCTAGCACGCTTTGAACCTCAAACAGTGTTTTTATAGGCCAGCTCATTGTTTTTCTTCTCTATGAAAAATCAAAAACAATAACCGTTTTGATGAGCTCTACGGGAAAAGACAGTTTCCATGATTTCACTTCTTGACAAAGAGCAGCTACCTCACTTGGTTTCTGCCACATGTAAGCAAACCCCCAGCCGTAAAACCTCCCCTCAGAGAAAGGGACACGGAACCCCAAAACTCTTGAGTTCTTTCCCATCTGCCCGGGGGGAAGCCTGCCTGCCCCTTGCTATGAGAGTGGACGAGTCGCAGGGGTGAGGTGTGGGAGAGGAGATGACTGTTCCCGCCCCACCCCCACCACAAGCACGCAGCCTGTGCTGTCACAGCACATTCAGGGTGGCTTCTGCCCCGTCACCACTTGATCTGGGTTGTCTCTCCAAAAATAAAAAAATAAATAAAAAAACCCCAACAAGGTGTGCCTGTCTTTTATAATGTCCTGTTTTAAAGCAGAGAAATCTCCAGGGAAAGAACAGGACCCTAAACGTCCAAGGCCTGGAATCCCTCCTTTCTCTCTTTCCATTTTAAACAGGAAACATTCCCACTAAGAGGGTCCAGAGGGAGCATGGGTTGTATGTTCATTTTAAGGCAGATAATGTTTGTGTGTTACAAATGTCAGTGATTTATCCCAAGGGCTTAAAATGAGTGCAGAAAAACCACATGTTTCACTTCATGCAGAGAAATAGCTTCAGTAGATTTCAAGAGAAAGCACAGGTTAAGGATTTTTTTTTTTAAGTGTTTCAGAAATCTCCAGCATGAACCAAAAGGAAATAGAAATGAGAGCGGCGGTGGGGGCGGGGGCGGGGGGTGTTGGTGCTTACAATATTTTATGACAAAAGATCTAGCGAATGCTGGAAGTTTTCTAAATCAGAGATAAAATTGTAAAGGAAAGGGGAGATGTAACCCTGATCCTCTATTTCCCAGGGCTGGAGTGACAGATTATGCATTTGTGCTCTATTTGTCATGGGCAATTTAAAATAGAGCAAAGCAAACTGCGCTGAATAATAGCAGTTGATGCTATAATAGCTTGTACACAAACAATTTAATTTTTTTATCTGAAAACTCTAACTAGATTACCCCAAGCTGAAGGATCTTTCATTATTACGTATAGCCAAATTAAGACATTAAACAGTAGAGCGAGAGTTCTATTGTTCATCCTTATGAATGTCCTCACACGCTGCTTTCCACACGCACCCACACTTGGAGCTCATCAACCCTTCATTGATTTGGGGAACTTACAGAGCTGTTTTAACATCAGATTCCGCAGATCACGGGGTGATTTTGACCCTCACTGACAGTGCTTGATTAACCACAGACGCCGTATTCTTCTAGCTCTGTCATTTCTTCCAAGTGTTCTACCAATTTGTACTCTGACATCGAAGAGATTTTCATTAATTATTATTGTTGCTTTTTTTTTTCCTTCAAAAAATTATCACAGGGAGAGTAGTAGAATGTGGGAAGGATCTGGTGATGGTGGTGGTGAATACGTGCACAGAAGGTTTATGGGATTTTAAGAGCTGCAAACAGAACTCATCTGTTTAACCCCAGGCTAGATAAGATGCAGTCATCTGTACGCTGTTTAGAGACGTATTGCTTCTGTTGTAGCAAATGGAACAGAAGATGCTTGTTGTCTTAGTAGAGAGATCCAGACAGGGTCACTTTCTGTTAGTGTTTATTGTTGCCCTGGACCTTTCTGTGTGCCTACTCATTACACAATGCAACTTACAGCTGGTTTGGCTTTTCCCACTCCGCTACTGGTACTTCTTGACTTCGTGGTAGAATTGCTTTCTATCAAGGCGCTACGTGGATAATCCCCAGCTCTGACTCAGGACTTTTTCTAGGAACTGTAGAGAGGGGAGAGCACATAGGGGTGGCCCAGAAGCTAACCGGAGTTAGACCAAGACTATGGTCCATGTCAAAAGCACCCCCACAGACCTAGAGATGAGTACAGCCCCAGGGAACTGTGTAACTCTGAATAACCTGCACATTTCTCCCACTACCCGTGACAGGCTTCAGGGGGGCAGAGAAGGGGGCAGGTCCAATGATCCTAGCTGTAAGGGAGCCAAAGTGCGCCCCTGTTTAGAAAACGAGCTTGGCTGCTATGCTAAAGGCCAACACGCAATGGTACAAACCAGAAAGAAGTATTTTTGTCCCTCGTGCAGCCTTCTGAGTATAAGCAGTCCTGGCTAACATGGTGGCTCCATGGTGGCTCCATGGTACAAGGACTCAGGCCCTTGCCCTCTCGTTGCTCTACCTTCCTCAGCATGACGCTTTCTCCTTGTAGTTAAAAACGGCCACTCCGATGGCCAACAGGAAGGGGAGAGGGGAAGAAGAAGATTCCCTCTCTTCTCTTTAAGGGCACACACCACTTCTGTTCACGTCCCATGGGCCAGGCCTAGTCAATGACCACGCCAAACTATGCAGGAGGCTGAGGAATGGGGTCTTCGGTCGGGCAGCTCCCTTAGCAGCTACTGATATGTGTCTGTTCTTCTCTTTCCAGGGGAGGACCAGCTGATCCTATAGACTATCTGACGGCCACACCTCGAGGGCTCTACAAAGAAAGGGAGCTCCCGTATTACCCAGGGGCTCATCCCGTGCATCCTCCCAAAGGGAGCTACCCACGTCCCCCGGATCTGAGGCTTGCAGACCTCCGGTATCCTCAGTACTACCCTCCTCCACCAGCCCCCCAGCATAAAGGACCCTTCCGACAAGATGTCCCGCCTTCCCCTCCTCAGCACCCCAGAGTGCCAGCCTATCAGGAAATGGGTAGACCAGGGCCCCGAGGGGGCAGCCCGGACCAGTACCCCTACCGAGCCCAGGATCCCAGGCAGAAGAACCCCATGACTGCAGCTGTGTAACTGAATATCACCACGCCCAGCCCAGCCCAGCCCAGAAGGGAAGACGGCTAACATCACCTTTGCCCTTCCTAGACTGTAAGACCTTCCTCCTGTTCAGAATTCTCCAGGGCACAGATAGGTTCTTCTCACCGAGGTTGCAACACTTGACTGCTAACCAGAGGGAAAAAGGAGGGGACAGGAGGACGGGGGATCAGAAGGAAGAGAAAGGACAGGGTCCATCAAAACAGTACTGCCTGAGACCTGAAATGCATTTAGAATTGTTCAATTCCGTGAGAGCGGCAGGTAAACAGGCAAATAACAAAGAACAATGGACATACCACACAGTGCCTTCCTGGTGCGCACAAGCCCCATGGAACTGGCAGCACAGAGACTCTCAGAGGCTGAGCCTCAGCCACCTGAGAGTGGCTGCAAATATGGGTGTCTTAAATGAGTAGTTTTCTCATTGAGAAAACAAACCAACAGCAGACATGACTAGTGATCTCTTTGAAATGTTTATACCCAGAAGAAGACTGCATTTCTCTCTTTGTAGAATTTCTCAGGTTCCTCGTACCACTCGTCTGGTATAAGTATTTTACATTTCCTTGCCATATATATATATATATATATATATATATATATATATAAAACACAACACGAATGCAGTATTAGTGTCCTGAGAGAATGTTTAAAGCTAGTCAGAGATTCCAGAAGGAATATAGTCCAAGGACCAAGGCGATCAGGTTAAGAGGGCTGAAAATCCCCTGATCCTCACCTTCCTTCCCCCGAGTCCCAGGCGTGATTGCATGGAGATATCCGGTTTCAGAACCATCTCCAAATCTGGAACCGGGGCCTCGACTTTAAGGCTCCCACTTGAGGGCTAAAATGCAGTTGGAAAAGAGAGGGCTCGTTGCTTAGGTCACACAGGAAGCAATGATCCGGAGATGCCAATTCCACACTCAGTGCCAAACAGTGCCATCTGCACCCGGGGACAAGGAGGGGCTGACTGTGGCCTCTGGGATTGATGACTAGGGAGCAGTAGATGGCAGTGAGTGACTGTGTGTGTGTGTATGTGTATGCGTGTGTGTATGTGTGAAGGTATGTGATTACCAGTATGGAGAATGTAAGATAAAAATGCTTTCTGGAAAGTTTGATGAGGAAGGAAATAAAAAGGAAAAAAAAAATCAGAGGCGAAAGGAAAAGAGGCATAAAACCAGATCATTCTACATCTGCTGTATTTCATTAACAAAAGTCGGGGGAGCACCCAGCCCGGGCCAGCATCTCCAACTGGGACTAGAAGGTCTTATGGTTTGGAAAAGCTGACACCCCGCCCTCTAAAACCCATCCCATTTCCTTTGAGCTTTGCAGTGATTTTCTACTTATTTCAGCAAGACTTCTAAAACTTCCAACCTGACCCAAATGAGAACACAACAGAAGACTGAGAAACAGCAAAATCTGGGAGCAGCCGTTTGAATCGTTCAATGGCTCTTAAGAGACTTAAAGCCTTGCGGCTCCTTCTCCATTCCCTCAAAACAAAACAAAACAAAAAAAGTATTGAGTTCCATTTGGACATATTTTGGCTGAGATTAGAATACCTCTGCCTGACAGGACTTAATAAATTATAGTATTATTAACTATAGAGTATCCAACCCAGTTTAGGTGTTTTTTTTAATTTAAAATAGAGTTCTATTACCAGGAATGAAGCAGCTGCTGGTTTTAGACATAATAGTGTTATTTACTGGACTTTAAGAGGTATCATTTTCTAAAGTACAATTACCTTGACCATCTTAATAAATAGACTGTCAAGTTGGGCTTCTCCATCTGTCATCCCTCTTGAGCCAGGCACCTTACACCTTTTGCAACGTGTGCACGGAGGTTGAGGGGCTCAGGCCCTGCTCACCTAGAGGTGAGATGCAGGTGAGCTCCCGGGCTTCTCTGCCAACACCGCTGAATGACACTTTACCCTCGAAATAAATAAACTTCCAGGAAGAGAAGGATAAAGTGAGGGAAATGTAACGTGCTTGGGAGCGTTAAAATCAGCTCTTGGGCATGTTGCATTTTGAGCCAAATTTCTCTAGGCTATTAGACATAGCCAAGCCAGGAGTCTCCTTCTGGATTAAGGCCAAGGCCACACGAGAGGCAGCCAGAGGCAGTGCGAGAGGGTGAGATATCCTGTGCGTGTTGGAGGAGTGGCCCTTGTAGGAAGAATGCCCATCTTCCCCACGTTGCACAATGCCTCCTGCTCACAGGCTCGGGGCAAGCTGCACCAAATACGGTCTTGCGCTGCATTCACAGTCAATAAAACATTTGCTAATCCTGCGGGGCAGCCAGTGATTTGAAACTGCTCTTCAAGTGGACGAAAACGAGAGGACAGCCGTTTTCTTGCTTGAAGTACAACACACGCCCAATTTGACCCCGCCCGAACGAAGCGCACGTGTGTGTCACAGAGGCTCCATCGAGCCAGGCCACAGTTAAGGAGGGCTCGAATGTAAGCTTCGTAAGCGCCTGTGAACCAGCCCTCCACTTGCCAGCACCCAGAGGCTGTAGAACTCTCTCCCAGTATCTAGGAGAACTGGTGGTTTAGAGTGTTTAGAAGGCCAGCCTGTAGTCAGTAGGTGCCCAGTAGCAGGAAGTAGTTCCCCATTTATTTACGGCCTTGGCGAGACTCAATCTGGTGTCTGCTCCTTGCTCAGAATACCATAACGCCCCTCCCCACAGGAACAGAGTAGCACAGTGAGCTGCAAACCCATCAGCACACACCCACCGACTCCTGATCTGACTGCTGGGTCGCTGAGGCCTGGAAATGATGCTTTGGCCTTGAGTCGTGAGATATTTGAAGGAGCTCTGGTTTATCCCTTTTTGCAGGAGGGGAGATGGGAAAGGGAGCAGACTATTGCAAACTTTTAGATGCAGGAGAATTCGGTCCTCTGCCAGGAGGAGAAACACTGCATCTCGTTAACCCCTTGCGCCATTGGACTGTGGTAGAAAATTGGTTCCCCACAATATTAAATCAGTGGATGAAAGGCAATCTCAAAGACAGGAGCACCTTTTTACATCACAATCGAGTAACAAACAAAAATCGGAAAATAAAATTACCGTGAAGCTCATAATTCTTAGATATGTAAGTCAACATGCATTGACCCCACAGGACAGCATGGAGCAAAGATCTTATAACCAAGGGTGTGAGGAGATCCACAGACCCACCATGACCCCATGGAGGAAACCATGCATGCTGCCCCATAAAGGAGGTTGGAAACTTCCTTGTGGCTCTCTTTGTGCCACCAACTAAATAAAATTAAAACATGACTCATTATTCCCTTCAAAGATCTGTGAACTTGTTGAACTATCTTCTGAAGGAAATGCATCTGACAACCTGAGGAGCTGTCATGCATGGAGTCTATGTGCATAATAAGGATCCGGCCTTTGAGGGGCATTCGTTCCCCTAACCTGTAGCCCCAGCAGTTGTTTTCTTTGGAGAGACATCTTAGCCTTTCAGGGCGGATAGAGAGATCTGCACAGTTTGGGGAGGGATGTATGCCTCTAAAATCCCCGTAGGCATTAAACTCTGAAATCCGCAACGAACTGCCCTCAAATCGGTGCTAAATTGGGTAGACACCCTACTGCTTTTGAGTCCAGGAGCAACAAAAGGTCCAGACTTGGTGCAATTAGGCAGGAGGGAGTGGGATCCAGAACCAGCCACGGGAGTACTTCTCTGCCCTCCCAGTTCCCACCGACTTAGTTGGAAATGATGCCACAATGAGACCAGAAAGAGGAGTCTCCATAAGATATCCCTACAAAGTCACCTCTCTGGAAAAAAAAAAAAAAGGAGAATGAAAGATAGATATCTAAAATAAGCCTAGAATCTCATATGCAGCTACTACTTCTAAGGGAAACTCTTTTCTCCCTCATGTCCTTAAATAGTAATAGAATCACGCAGCTCCTGACTTTTAAAGATGGGCTTAACTCCCGAGCCTGGAGTGCACAGTGAACTAACCCCAACGACCGAGACTGTCTCCTCACTCAGCTCTGAGAGCGTGTGCTGTTCCATCTATGCTGCCCGCAGTGCTGTTTACTACTGGAACGTAAAAACAAACCCTACTGTGGATACAGTCACTTCTTCTAGTGTTTTCCTGCGCTTTTTTGGCACCAAGTCTGTTCATAAGTTCTGAAGATAAATTATGTGAAATCATATTTTGGCATATGGGGGCAGAGAATGAATTCTTCACAGACTTTTTAGAATGATCCCATTTGTACCACAGAAAACATTTTGGATGCTGTTATATATGAACATACAAATTTTTCTTGTTTTATTTTGCATTAAAATAAAGCTTTATTCATTAAGATACCAGAGTGTTGGTTTTCAGTCCCCACCTGTTTGGTTTAGGATTTGATGAATGAATAGGTTGGTCTGGTCCTGATCACCCTTAAACAGCAACATCATAGGGCAGGGGTCATGAAGGAGAAGCCTCTGTCATGTGCTGGGCCCCCAAGAAACACATGCGAGACGGAGACGACCATGTAGGCTGTTTATTCAAGAGCGCACTTGGGTTCAATACCCACGGAAGCCAGGGCAAGAAGCAGGGCCGGCCAAAGGGAGAAGCTGAGCAGTGATACCCTCCCAAATTAGGCCTCAGCCAGCTCCACAGGGCAATCTGGAGCCACAGTGGCCCTTCAGACTTGTCCCAACTTGGGACTAAAGAGCTGGGTCTTCATACCACTGTGTTGGTTGGTAGGTATGAGCTACTCCTGGAAGGAGATGGGACCCAGGACTGGGCAGTTGGGAGGTATTTACAGTGGTTGGGAAAATTGTCCTTCATTCCTGAGGTGGGATCTGGGCAGCTCACCACACAGCCTCCAACACTGTTGACCCTTCCTCTTACCTTACTTAGGGAAACGTGACTCTGAGTAGGTTCTCCTTGAAACCAACCCTCTGTTTCCCAAGATTCTTCACTGGATTATTCTCAGACCTCCCAGAAGTGTCTTGCAAGTTTATTCGCACCGAGGTTTCAGCCACCGTCTCTGGAGAGGTTTGCTCACAATCTCCAGCTCAGATCTGTCTTCCCAGACACATGCATCTCCATTTTCCCCCTGGTCATCCCCGCTCGAGCTTTCCACAGGCCCTTTGGACTGAACAAGCTCAAAGCATAAGATTTCTCAAAAGAAGCCTGCTTCTCATGATTCTGACCTGGCCAGTGGCACCACTATGTTCACAGTTACAAGCCAAAACACTGGAAATTATCCTTGACTTCCCATTTATAACTCTGCCCATTCCTCCGACCCATCCCCGTCTGGAAAGCCAGCAATTCCACTCTATCTGTCCATGCTTCCTGACTTCCTGCCTTGGCTCAGCCTCTTCACTAGCCTTCTCTGCGATCTCTTGCCTCTGACCATGCTTCCTTCCCTACGACCTTTATACTCTACGGACTCAGCACCTGCCTTGGTACATAGAATTTGGTCGCAACGTGTACATATCAATTCGCTCAATCATTGTCTAGAACACTTCCCGGCTACCATATCAACCTCTCCTGTATCCTGCCAAAGGGATTTTTCTGAAGTAGAGATCAGACCAGGCGTGTTGCTCTTCTGGAGGCAGCATGCTCTTATTGAAAGACATTGGCTTTGAAAACAGGCAGACCCAGATCTAAAGCGAGGTTCCAGCACTAACCGGTTGTGTGACTACTTAGCTCTCTAGGCCAGTTTCCCCATTTGTGAAGCAAAAGTAGTACACGTCTTGTGCGATGGTTTTGCGAATTAACTCACATGTACATGTACAGGAGTTCTGGTGCCAATGTGAGCCAGTCTCCAAGAGCCGACTGTCCACGTCTCTCCCCGGTCCCATGTCTAGGGATGCCACATTAGTAGTTTGAAATAGGCCATGTTGGAAGCCTTTATGACACAGAAATCAGCGTAGTGTACAAAGCAGGCCTTTTTCTTTCCCCTCTAGAAAGCCAGTGGTTAAACATTTGCCAGCACACCACTGTAGACAACATACCCAGCAGTCAAGGAAAGTTAATCCTTGCCCCCCTTCACGCACACACACACGTACGCCCTCACTCCTCAGAACCTTTCGGTGGCTCTTTCCTACTTACAACCTAAAGTTGAAAGCCCAAACCTTGCAACATCAGTCCCTGGCGCCTCTCCCTCTTCACGTCTCCTTGCTCCTAGTTTTACAGCTTGTGCTACTGTTATTTCCAAATTACTTTTATTTATTTGAACCAGGTGTGCATTTCACAGCTCTGTACCGTGGAAACACACAATAAACATAGCTGCTCAAAGTGCCCTTCGTCCCGTGGATCCCTCAAGGCCCAGATCAAGCGGCTCATTCTCCATGAAGACTTCAAGGCAGAAATTGGAGACTGGCTCTCTCTTTCACATCCATCCCATGCTCTCGTAGCAGGATTTACTACAGGGCAGAGGCACTAACTCTGCAGACCACATTTTCCAGCTTTCCTCTTGGCCGTTGTTGCACACGAGGCCCAGCTCCTACCAACCAGACCAAACACTCTAGAGGATGGAACTGAGGGCCAGGCATGCTTCTGCTGGCAAACAGGGTAACAGAGGCATTTGGTTTCCTACAAGAATACTCAGCCCCTAGCTTCCTGGGAGTCAAGAGGCTGTGCGAGGGCAATCCGTTGGGCTAGCATGTATCATAGCTGAGGCAACACGATTCTGCACCAACAGTCGGGGCATCTTCCGATCTTCGAAAAGTTAGTAACCTCCTCCGTGAGCCAGTTCTGACTTGTCGTTCAGAGATTCATTCTGGAAGCCTTGCCTAGAGCTTGCTTCTCCAGCCCTTCCAAGAATTTTGCAAGCACCTAACTTTCCACATTCGATCCCTTTCTGTTTGCTAGAAGGGATTCAGTTATCTGCAACTAACCTCACCAAGATTTCTTCCGCAGCCCTCCTCCTGAGCCAGACAAGGTAATTCCATCCTGAATGTTACTGAGACACATTCTGCAGATCCTCAATAAAACTTTTATTACCTCTATTACAATGATTAGTTTCCATGTCCGTGTGGCCTTCTGAAGAGTATCGTATTTATAACACGTTGCCTGGCTCTGACTATATGCTCGAGAAATATTTGCTGAATTCATTTGAATGAAGAAATGAGGTGTGAGGGTTCTTTTTCTGAAATGCTGCGCTGCTGACGTCCCACCTTGCAGTTCAAACCATAAATCTCAAAGTCCTGTTGTTAAAGATCGCCCGGTATTTTTCCTGAGGTAAAAGGTGTTAGCTCACGTGGGCAGGCCAGATTCTAATTTAAAACACGAAGCAGGCGAGGAGATTGTAAATGCAATGGGTAATGCATTATTTAGAGAGCAAAGAGAGACTTAAGTAAAGAGAAAATGTATTCCTTGCAACCGACTAAGATGGAAATACTTTTAGTGACAGATGATTACTATTATTATTGTATAATTCCTTGGATTTTAGGCAAGTGCCTTGTGATCACTTGTATTACTTATTCCTTTCAACACCTGTAGGTGGTGAACTGAATGGCTCCCTGACTTTCCACAAGGAAACTGAGTCCTACATAGAATGGTACTAACATAAAGATTTAATGAACGCTATTTAAGCATATCCAAAAACCTAGAGGTAACTTTGTGTCTTGACAATGGAGATTTCTTTTTTAGTGGCCATGTTTATTCTCACTAATTATTGTTTATAGTACTTGCTGAATGCTTCATGATTACAGTAATTTGTGCTTCTCGTCCAAAGAACATCAGGCTTATTTTACACCTAAAGAAACTGAGGCATGAAGAAACCAACCAGGTAATTGAGGGCCAAAGGAGAAAGGTGAATTTCCTTTATTCGTGGAGTATTTCTTGAGAAACTACTATGTTCCCGGCACTCTGTGCTACCTCCTGAGTGGGCTCTCTGCTTTGCAACGTGGGTGGGTTCCTCCCCAGCTTGCAACAAAAGGTCCTTCCTCGGCACGTGGCCAGTTTGCATCATACCTGTGCCTTCCTAATTACTGGACTCTCAGAGGTCATCAGGCATGGCCCATGTCCTCTGGAGAAAGAAGAGATGCTTCAGCAGTCAACGTTTAACATTCAGCTATCACCCTTTCCACTGAAGCTTCACTTGGCTGCTTGTTACCGACCCTCCCAAATACCTAAGTTTGCTGCATAGTAACCAATGTGTCACAGTATAGAAGAATGGTTTTAACTGAAACCTAACAACCCTCGACTTTGTGGCCCTTCTGCCTGGTCGATCAAATGAGAAGTACAAAAAGAAAATGAGATTCAATTGTTGCCCAACAGATACTTCATGTCAGATATTGTAAAACGCTGCAGAGTATTGCAGACATAGACAAGGCTTGGATTCTGCCCTCCAGGACCCGCAAGTCAAGTTGGAGAGGAAAACAGACACAAAGAACCAAAACTCACGGCTGAACATGGTGAGTATACACTGCCAGGGAAGCCTGACTTTTGCCTCCGGGTGTGAACAGGATCGGGTAAGTTTTTTGGAAGACCTGACATCTGAAATGGCCTAAAAGGATGAGAAGGATGTAAACAGGCCAAGCAAGGAAGGGTATTGGCTTTCCAGCTACAGAACACAAGCCTCCACACAGAGACAGGAAACCCCCAGCTCTGTGTGATTTCGGGTGGGGGGGATATAGGTTGCGAGATCGGGGGTGAGACGGTGGGAGGTTGATACTAACAGTGGCTAATATTATTCAGTGCTTAGCAAGTGCCAGATACTGGCTTCATGTTTGTCATAATTTATCTCATTTAATCCTCAAACTCTATGAGAAAACAGCTATAAATGAATTAAGTAACTTGCCTTTGGAGTTTCAGACGCTAGAATAAGTTACGTAGGGTCCCCAGGGAGTTGGACAGTTGGTAATAGGGGGAATCGCTCACACAAAAGACAGTTTAAATAAAACCAGCCCAGGTGAAAGCAATACACAAAAGGAACTGGAAAAGCCATCAAACCATCAGCTTTTACTAAAGAGGGGAGAGCTAATATTTACTGAGTCTATAGGAGCTATGGGAGTTGCTTTGCCTACATTAATCTCATTTCTTCTTCCTATCAAGCAAGGGGGCCCATTTTACAGATGAAAAAACTGAGGCTCCAAGAGCCTAAGAACGGCTGTGGCTAGTGAAGTGGCTGGTAAATCCAGCTCTGGGTCCACAAGCCTCCTTGCTACCCCCAAGGGGCATTAAAAGTAAATCTCAGTGCAGATTTCTTTTAATTTTTCAAAGCCTACGTTGTGATCACTACCTAAAGTGTGTGCAATGTTGAAGAAAATTCAGAACATGTAAATGCAGATTTTGACATTTTAGACTTAAGAAACATGCAGCCTTGTGTTAGTTCCACTATATATTAAATTATAATCTATGT